AAATATTTGTAACGGAAATTTTAAGATTAAATTATTGAAAAACGTTTTTGAGTGAATTTTCCCCATGCTAAAAACAGCAATAAAGGTGTTTAAAAAATGCCGAATTATAATGGAAATATTGAGGATATTTGCGATAACTTTCAAGCAATTTTAAAAATGTTCATTCCTTTTCAATAAATTGGCAAAAAAAATTTCCGGAAAACTGCAACCTTTACCAATCATGAAAAATTTTTCGCTCTCTGATGAAAATATGAGTTATGCCGTACATTCCATTATTTACTCGTTCATTACTGTAATACAAAAAGATTACCGTAATTTGTTGCAAAAAGTACCATATATAATGAATTGTGAAGTTTTTAATTATTATCTTTCGTTACAATTAATCAAGCAAATTATATGTTTTAGCGATATCTATTAAATTTTTACGTGATATAATTAAGTTTTTTGATTTTCCAAAATTTTTCAGGTTGATTTAAATTTTTTGGGAACTTTTTTCCTGAATTGCTGCTCAATGGATTATTTATCGTTTATTTTCTTTTAATTTTTATTGAAGAAAATGTTATTTTAAAAATATTCAATAGTGAATTATTAATTCTTTTAATTAGCATTGCTATTTAGGCATTGTGTAATTTTCAGAGTTTATTTCAAAATGGAAAACACTAATGAATGGTACATATTTATTGGCGTTAATAAAAATAAAGCTAAAGCATTAAATTAACTAAGGAGTAAATTTTAGAAAGAAAAAGAAGAAATTTTAAAATTTCTTTTACAATTTTCTTGTTGTTGATTAGCATCAATTTAAGTACTAAAATTTAGTATTTGTCAATTTTCATTACTTTTTTTTACGAAAAAACCAAATTTTAACCATTTAAATAACATGAACATAACAATATCTTTCAGATATACTAATGTTGTAGTACTGCTATTGCTAAATTTTGAAATTAGATTGTGCAAATAAATTATGGTAAATAAAAAAAATTTAATATCATTTAAATGTTGGCAAATAAATTATATATTTCGATTTCATTCCAGTTAAAAAAAAATATTTTTGATAATAAATTACCTTTTTTTTTCTTCAAACTTTGGAAATATTTTTATTGAAAAATTTCTTTAAAAATAGCTGACAAGAAATGAGGTAATGCACTTTATTAAATAAATAAATTTCACTGATATCCCTTTTTTTTTCCTTGGCCAAATAATATGACTTTGAAATGATTTTGTGAAAGCAGTATGAAAAGGAAAAGGAATATGTTCGAAAATCTTTTCCATAATTTAAATTTCAGAATTTCTTCCAAATATTCAATGTGATAACTTTTTTTTTCATCGAAAACATTTTACTCAAATGATCTTTTTTTCATTGCTTCGAAATATCTTTCTGGAAGAATAGGGTTTTTTTTTTCATAAATGCCAACCAACAAGAATTTTATGCATACTTAATTATTTGCAATCATATATTAAATATATTAAATTCAATGAAAATTTGATAAGAAATTTTGTTTAGAAACCGTTTATTTGATTATTACCTAATTTAAAAATTTAAGGCGAATTTCTGAAAAATTATTTTATTTACATTTACTTTATTTATAACTATTATGAATGTAAATGAAGCAATAAGTAAAGTAATTTTTTCTTACTTTATTTATATCCATTATGTTTTTCGTAATGAATGTGAATAAATTAATTGATCAAGTAATTTGACCAAATTGGAATTAAATTCATTCTATTATTAAGGATGGGAAAGAATATAATATTCTTCTAGCAATTAACAGTTCAATATTATCAAATTATCAGCCTACAGTGTTTTTCTTCACCAATAAATGAATTTCACATTCGGTACAATTTCATTGATTGAAATCAAACTTTCAAATACTTAAATTTTTGGCCTAAGTCTTCATTCTAAAGTAATGCTATACACATTTCCATATTATATCAACTATAATCTTGTTTAAATTTATATGTTGCATCCGTCCAAATATGACCTAAATGCAGGCCTGTAATTTGAAATCGCTAAAATTTACTTTTTTTTTATTGGTTAACTGTTGGAAATTAACTATACAATGAAAGTTGAAATAAATATTAAATGAAAAATCAAACAAAAGAAAAATCCTATGTTAGGAAGAATATATTGCAATATTCAAGTTGCGGGTTTCCGTTTAATTCTTTTTTAACTCTTAAAAGAATAAAAAAAGAATTAAACATTGCAATATTTTACACGACTCATACTCTGACTGAATATGATTCATGTAAAATAAATTTTTTAACTTAAAGCTTAAAGAATAATGAATGTTAATTGTAAAATCATCCCATTTCATATTGAGTAACTAATCCCAGTGAAAATGAACAAGTGAATAAAAAAAAAGCAATTCATGATAAATTAACAATTAATTTTTGAGTGTAATGAATAATTAAAAAATCAACTGCAATATCACTCATACTGAAAATGCTGTGATTATTTTTCACTAACTCCTTATCACTGATCAAATTACACCATATAATTAATTAATTTGATAGAATCAATATTTAGTTTGGTTTTTATCTTTTCATACCTGATATTGTGTTTGCAATATATTTGCATAGCGACAACATTGTTGACAGAAGTCTGGAACAAAAATGATCGAAAAAAAAAAGCAGTAATGTGATAAGATGATAAAAGAAAAGTACATCACAACAATTCGTAAATTAACTTGAAATTTTCAAAATGTAAAGAAAAAACAATGCACTATGTAAAAGTGCTATCAATAAGCGAATTTAAACAAGGAGGTAGAAGAAATGTCTGTAAATGCAGACGAGATTGTAATTGCAGAATTTCAAATTTCAAATACAATTAGTGAAAATATGCATTAACAAATTTGTTAAATATGAATGACTTTCAAAGCTCATATTTGAATTTCACGGAAGGATAGCTTTTTGTTCTCGTCAACTTTCCAATTTCCTATTCTTTCAAGCTAGCCAATAACAAGCCAGTCCAAGTAGCTCTATTTAATTTTCCATTCTTTCCGTTAAATTTCATTCCTAATCGGTAAAATATTTTTCAGGTTATTGATTTCTTAATTTCATTATTGCTAAAACAAAATATAGAAATGATTAATGCATTAAATCCTTGAATTGATACCATTTAATATCACTTATTTTTTTGTGATATTGAATGGTATCATATGATTTGTTATTTTTGTATTTTTAAAAGTAATTTTACAAATTTTCAATAATAATTTTGTAATTTCTATTTTTTCTTCTACAGATCACTACATTCATGCGAAATAAAAACCAAACACTTCGTACTAAATTTAAAGAATCAATTTTATGATAAATGTTTAATTCAATAAAATTTAAATAAAGAGGATAAAAAATGTTTGCCCTCATAATGAATGCAAAGAAAGTAATTTGATCGGAGTTGCAATTTTAATTAGATTTATTAATTCGCTAATATGGAAGATAATTTTTCAGCAAAAAAAAGAAAATTCCAAGGAGATATCTCTATTCATTTTCATTAAAAAATTAGCTCATTAAGCTAATTAAGTTTTTCTTCGAGGATTGCAATACTAAGGATTGCGTGCATGCGTTGTCATGGTGAAGCGCACATTTTCTCTCCCTTTTTAAGTATCTTTAAGCATCATTTGATGTAATAATATATTACCTTATACGAATAGGTTATCAATAATTATATGAAAAATGTAAAAAAAAAAAGAATATAACTATATCCACTTACTTATTCTTACTTTACTTAGGACGTTCTGTTTATCACTGTTAAGCAAAGTGATAATTTGCAAAACTTGGATTAGACTCTAAAAAAGAAGTCGGATAATCTTAGACTGAGTCAAAAAAGGCTATTTATTAAAGTTTGATAAAAGTTTTTTATCCGTTATATGATTATATTCAGTCTAATCATTTGATGTGATATATTCGAATTTGCAGGATTCAAATGTGCTAATGACTTCAAAAGTTAAAATGCAATCGATTGCTATTTGGCAAGATCGTGACATACGATTCGATGTGAATCCACGGTGTGTATTATTTGCTTAGCTAATGATCATTTAATTAGCTTAATTTTAGTTCCTTCACATCAAGCATAAATTCATTTGATGATAATGATGAGGAATTTGTTAGCACGAATATTGGTTTTACAAGTAATGATGGATTTATCAATCATTTTATCATTTTGGTATATAATTCATAAATGTTGCAGGTTGCTACGTTTGATTCCCGGTGAACATCTCCTGGATCATATTGATGGTGTTGAGGATATCAAAGGAAATTGCGGTGATAAGGGTACACTTCGGATAACAAATTTAAGACTTACATGGCATGCAACTGCTATACCACGTATCAATCTAAGCCTTGGGTAATTTTTTTTTTTAATATATTCAAATTTTTAAATATTCATTATTAATTATTAAATTATCTCTCTTAAAAAGATCAATCGGTTTAATTTGCATTCTCGAGAATTCTCCGATCAAATATTCCATAAAATTAAGCATGAAATTTGAAGAATAATCAGCTTTCCGCGATTGCAGCACCAGATAATTAAGTTTGATAGTATGTCATAGGTCACTTACATCAATCATGATTTGCTATAATTATTCCTGATCATTCATCTTTTCAGGTATAATACGATAAGTGGTGTGACTACAAGAATTGCAAAATCGAGACTTCTTGGACAGAGTGAATCATTGTATTTATTGGCTCATCATGCAAATGCTCGATTTGAATTCATCTTTACATGTATCAATCCATCCCAGGTTTTTTTTGTTTTCTTTTTTTTTTTTTTAAATTAATAAATTTTATCGTAATTTTTAAAAAGTTAAATTTATTAGGTAGTCAAAAAATAACAACTCTTAAATTATCTTTGATTCTTCCTCTTTTTCATTTTGCCCCCTTACAATCATCATTCATTTTTTTTAGGTAAAGCTTTTTACGACTGTAATAGCTATTCATCGAGCATATGAAACATCAAAGCTTTATCGAGAGTTGAAAATACGTGGTGCTCTAGTGAATGATGAGCAACATCTTCGAATCTTACCTGAAGAGCAACAATGTGATCGTTTTGATGGTGTATGGAATTTAGGCAATGATCAGGTTGATAAATTATTCATTAGCTAATGCAATTCATAACATTTATCATAGTTTGTAAGGAGCACTGATATAATTTGTTAGCAATTATCATAAAGCCAAGAAGGAAATAAATGGAAACTATGATTTATGATTGGAAATTATGCTGCAAATGTAGATTATTTTCTGGAGTTTGTTTTCCTATTGAAAGTAATTATCAATTTCTAAAAACATTTTGTTAAGCAGTTAAGCAATCAAATTTTAACTTAAAATTCTAATAATACTCTTTCAAAAAAAAAAGAAAAAAAAAGAAAGGATCATTTCAGGGAACGCTTGGTGTTATGACACTTACTAATATTCGTATTGTATGGTTTGCAACAACAAATATAATGTACAATGTAAGCATACCGTATTTACAAGTACAGGATTGCCGTATACGTAATTCACGTTTTGGCCCTGTTTTGATCGTTGGAACTACAGCTATTGTAAGTTGAAAAAAAAAAACAAAAGTTGTTTGTTTTCAAAATCGATTAGAAAAATTGTTTGCTTACAGTTTATTGCAAATTCGAAATTCTAGCAATGCAAATGTTAGCTCAATTTAAATTTACATCTTATTGTTACTTTGATATTTCCTTCAATGCTTTCCAAAAGAGTATTTCTTACTTCATTTATGAAAGAAGAATTTACATATTTACTTTTTAAATAAGCTAGTTGTGTAGGAAATTTATAGGTTGCTTGTTTCGAAGCAATATGTAAATTATTTTGAATATTGAAAACTTGTATAGTATTGTTATTTTTACTTTTATTATCACATCAGATTCTGAAGTACTATTTTATTTTTTTTATTTTTTTTTTTTTGTTTCTACAGAACAAGATGTATGTTCTTGGTTTTCGTATTGATCCGGAAGAAAGACTGAAAAATATTTACAATACGATATGTGCACTTCAGAAAGCTTATGCAAAGAAACCTATTTTTGGTGTGCAACATATTCAAGAAAGACCGGTACGACTATTGTTAATTTGTTCGGTTTTGTTAATTAGTTTTGTAAAACTTTCACAAATTTTTTGCATTTTTCCAATTACACTTTTATCAATGATATTATTCTGAATAAATATCAATGAACAGCTACTAAACTATTAAAGCCACTTTTTAGTCTATCGTTAAGTATAACTATGCAAATTATTTTATTTGTGATCGATGTAAAGTTTGCAAATTTCTTCAACCAATCAAACATAATATTGACTTCAAAATTCTTTCCATTCCTCTTTTTTTTTTTTTTTCTAAAGCATATATCAAATTTCACATTTCATGTATTCGACCTAACAAACTTAACGAAACGCTGATACTTTTTAATCGCCATCATAACAGACATATATAATACGTATTATTTCCAGTATAAAATTTATCATCCTATAATTCCTTAGCTTTGGAAGCTTTGAAAGCAATATAAATTGCATAGTAATAATAAAGCTGTGTTATTTTTTTTAGCAGGAAAATTATACATTTAATTATGGAAATTTAATGGAAGGACAAAAAAAAAAACCAGAAAACAAATAGGGACAAAAAAAAAAACAGTAAAACAACAACAAAAAAAAAAACTTAAAAACACACTACAAAAAATGCTCTAATTACAAATTAGATATTTTAAAATTTAAACTAAAATAGCACTAAAAATAAGACAACAAAAGGAGATTAATGAGCTAAACAGGTAAATATTGGAAATGATCATATCGTTTAGATTTGCATAAAAATTTGCAGGGTTCTCCGCAAGCAGTGGGAGATGTGATGAAATTGGTTGATGATGATGTTGAGCTTGATGATCGACCTCTTCGAACTGATGCATATGCTGTATCAATTTTGATGAAAATTTTAATTCATTTTCTTCCTCGATAAAAATTAGTAAAATATTTTTCTCACATAAATTGTTGTCGGTTGTGGTTTAATTTGTATAAACGAAAATAAAATCATATTTTGCAGGCTTATTTCTCAGATGGTGTTGTTAGTGAGGAAGTTCGACCACCCGTTTACTCAGAAGAGCTTGGAGTAGCAATTGAAGAGCTCAAATCAGGCTTTACGCTTACTGATCTATGGAAAATTCACGTAGACTGATGTAAAACTTCTTTCTTTGTCGATAATGAGATTTTAATTTAATTTGAAAAATTTTAAGCGATTTTTTGAATAATAGCTAAATATTGTTTTGAATTTATGCTAAAGAACATATGAATTAACTGTTAATTTTGTATCAGTGAGTATTAATGTTTAAAAAAAAAAAATGATACGTAAAGGATAAATGTAATTGAAATACTTAACTGATTTTTAAACAATACTTGTATCAATAATTGTATTTATTCCTTTCAATACTAATGATTACTTGCGTAAGCATAAATACAAAACGTAAGCACAAGTACAAATCGTACTTTATAAATCTGTTTTATCATCACTGATAAAGTATTTGATCAATAAAATATGTTTAGCATAATAAGTAATCAATAAATGAATAATATGATAAATTGAATTTTATGTAATCTTTGGAATACAAATATACCGAAATAATGATGAATATATTAACTGAAATATTTGTATTATTCATCAACAAAATCTGATCTTTTTGCAACTAACATGCATTTAATGTCTGTTCTCATTATCGATTTACTTTAATAAAATTGAAAACAAAAAATCACTTTACCATGTTGATTATTATTGCTTTTGTTGCTTCTGAAAATGACTTTACCATGATTATTGCTTTTATTACATTGATTTTTACTTCTGCTACAATATCAGCATAAATTAATGCTCTAATTTTAAGATAGAATTTGAATTCCCTTAATTTGCAATTTTATGAGGTTAACGTAACTGAAAAGAATTTTAATTTTATAAATTATATCTCAACTGAAAAAATTTGTAATTTTATGAATTAAAATTATTTGTTAGCTGTGATAAAGATATAACTGTGATGCATAATGCAGTATTGATAATGTAACATTAAATTTGACAATTAATGATTGCACGACATTAATAAGATTTCTTTCTTCAATATAATGCTACCATATTAATAAACAATTAAAATTAATTGATTACTCAATGATTGACATGATGGATGATTGAATTAATTTTTTTTTTTTTCAAAATTTTATGAGAAGCAAAATTCTCAATAAAAATTTTCACAATTGATTTCAAATTTTGCTTATTATTCATTGTCCGTTCGGGTTTTTTTCTTCAATAGGATAAAATGAAGAAATGTACGCCACGAATATTTTGTTTGTCTTTTTTAGCGAAGATGAAAAAATTAAAACATTTTATTGATTGGATGTGAAATTTTAAATTTTTTTAAAAAATAGTTTTCTTTTTTGTCTTTTTCAAAAGTATTCATCAAATTTCTTCCAAATTTTTCATTTCTAAAAAAAAAAAAAAATTGTGAGAATTTGATGAAATGGAATGAAATTATCGAAAAATAGCATTATTTGTCAAATATTTTTTTGTTCATTTTTAATTTTTAGCAAAAATTTTATGAAAGGAGAACACAATTCAGCCTTTCTTCTTCTGCTCCATTTCCCTCATTTCTCTTTTCCTCCCTCTCTCTCTTCTCTCTCTCTCTCTCTCTCTCTCTCTCTCTCTCTCTCTCTCTCTCTCTCTCTCTCTCTCTCTCTGAGTGTCGAGATATTATGACTATATTCATCAGTACGCACCAGTTCTTCTTTTGCCATGGCTGAATTTTTTTATTCAAGAAAATCCGGATTTTATTATAGGTCATTTACGGTATACATTAATTATGATCAGTGAGGAATTTGATATTTCTAAATGAATAAATTTCAAGAATTAGTAAGATTGGCAAACAAGAAATAAGAAATTTTCCTAAAAAAATTCCGAAAATCTACATACAACGAATGGGACATTTTTCTTGGAAGATGTCACGGCAATGATATCATCAAATGCGCTTTATTTTTATCTTTTCAATAAAATTTCAATAAAAATCTGATTTAATATGAGTGCTTGTTATTTGCATATGTTTTTTCATGCATTTAATAGCCAGGAGCAAGACGAGCCGGTGGACAATGGTCACAACTGCCAGGTGCACCTAAAATAAATTTGAATATTTACAGATCAAATAAATTCCATTGAATACACATATATTTCAAGAGTGCAGTTTTAAAAGTAAAATCTGCTCAAGAGTGAATCAAAACTGTTGGAATTGATGCTTTAGTTTCGATATTAATGCTTGGTAAATTAAAAAACGTACCAGGTTCTCCAGGTGGTCCAACAGGTCCCGGTCGTCCGCTTGAGCCTGGTTGCCCAGGTTGTCCAGGAACACCAGATGGACCTGGTGCGCCGATTGGACCATCTTCACCGTTTGCACCTGGTGGTCCCGCTAGTCCTGGCAGTCCAGGACGTCCTGGAGCGCCTGGTCGACCCGGTGGTCCAATTTCTGTCCTATATGCTCCTGGTTCTCCGGGTGGTCCATTTCTTCCAGGCTGTCCTGGTTGACCTGGTTGTCCTGGTTGACCTCTGGGTCCTTGATCCCCCGGCCTACCATCTTCGCCATCTTGACCCGGTGGTCCTGGTGGACCATCAGGTCCGGGTGGTCCCTTAGGACCAGGTTCACCTGGTGGTGAATCACATGGGCACTGTGGCGGAAATAGATTTTGAATTTCCGCATCGAAAGGTGCAGGTGGTCCAGGTGGTCCAAGTTGGCCGATTTCACCGTCTATTCCAGGTACACCATCACGACCTGGTGATCCCGGTGGCCCAGGTGGTCCTCGTGAACATGTGCAACAATCTCCACTCACGTAGCTTTCTCTAAACGATTCCGGTTTCTGATACGGCTCGTCACGAAGCTCCTGATCATGTAATCTTCGTGCCCAGAAATCCGCCATCGTATCGCGTTTCACCTCTCGATGCGCCATCACTATACGTGCCAATTTTCCGGAATCATAACGTCCACTAGTTTCAATATCCAAAATTTCCTTCCACATATCATGAGCTCGAGCCTATTTTTAAAATAAACGTTATATGGATATTATAAAGAGAAGTACCATATCGAATAATTCATCAACCATTAGAAAACAATTTAAAGAAAAAAAAAATTCAAAAAGTTCATTCATTTCAATTTTCTTTCATAATCATTTAAAAATTTAATATTTCAACATTTCATGTTTCAATTATCTCTATGTTATATTTTTCGTTTTAAAAAAAATAAAAATAAATTTCAATTTATTTGTTATTTTTCTAAAATGAAAAAAAAAAAGATAAAATAAATAAATGAAAACATACGCGACAAAAGTCAAGATCGATTTGAACGGATGATTCCAGTGTTTGAATATAATTGATAATTAATGGGAATGTTATCAAAATGGAACATATAGCAAAGGTGCTAAAAACAACCGATATAAAAGCAATTGGTTTTAAACTTTGTGGTTGATTCTTTTTATCTTCCATTATATCACTAAGTAAATTATTGATAAGTGATAATAAATGATGATAATGATAGTAGTGCGTCTGTTGTTATCGTTGTTGTTGCTGTTGTTGTTGTTGTTGTTGTTGTTGTTG